GTTATTCGTTTAATCGCACAGTTCGGTTTTTTTTTTTTTTTATTTTCAATTGTTTAAGCATCATTAACATCGATAAAACATATATAATTAATGTACTTCATTATGTCAATTCCAGGCAGCCGAGGCAGCATCGATTGTGTAAATGGATAAAAGGAATACGACCCCGTCATGAAACACAATCCAAAGTGATAAAACGGACAAAATACACGCTTTCTTCAGATGTTTTGGGCAAATTATCCAAGAGACTCAGAATGGAGTCTTCACTACATAAAATATGATGTACTGAAGAAGGAATTCACACTATGTAAATAAGATGTTTTTGCTGATACCTATTGAAACTGGAGCGTGTTGTAGAGTACCTTAGCTGCTTCCATAAAGACCCTTTTATCATTTATCATTTAAATAGCTGGAACTCTACTAATGGAAGAGAATATTACCTTTGCCTAGTACTTTGTTTTTGCAACTAGATCAGTGATAAACATACGGCTTCATATTCTAGATAATTGTAAATTTTTCATATTTACGTCAGGAACTTGCCATACAGAAAGCGGCCATGCTACTTTACTGATCACTGATATATAAAGAAAAACATTTTGATTAATGATATTATTCCTTATTACACTTTACTTCAATGTAACCTGGACAGGAGATAATTTTGTATAACAAAGTTCAAGTCGATTATTAAAAGTATATAAATAATTCATTGTGTACTGTTCGTTTTATTTTTTCTCCAAACATCTCGGAATAAGAAATAAAGAACTCCCTTTGTCGACATATACCCCCCCCCCACCCTACCCCAAATAAAATAGCCTTATATTTATTGACCCCGAGCGCTTGGCAAACTCTATGTCCACCAAAACAAAATTGACATGTATTATCCAGACACATATCTGTGAATATCTTGGGAAAGATCAATCTGTGCCCCTGGTACTCTTGGTCAAGGTGGAGATAAGTGTTAGTTTGGGAAAGAGCGACAGCAGCAGAGCAGGACTTGTAAATAGACATAGATACATAGAAATGGGATGAGTTTACATTTGAGAGAGCTATCTGAAACTATCTGATGGGAAAAGGACCCAGAAGGGTACCCCATTTAAAATGCCTCAGACTGTTATTGTAGACGCGATTTACATTACCCGGTGACCGTGACTTCGTAGTCTTAATATAAACCTTGTGTCTCCTGTTGTAAGTTAACCGCAGCCTGGTCGTCCATAGAAAAACAACCTCCTGTATTGTAGCACAAGAATTTTCTTTAGATATTCACCTCATCCATTGTCTCGTTCTCCATTTTTTAACGTGCTTGCAATGCACCGATAGCGAGGGCGCTGTGTGGAGACAGCTATTAGATTTTTACGTGTTAAAATACAAAGGAAGGCATTTGTAAAAGCCGATGTTTTCTTCTTTCACGTGCAATCTGCTGAACAAAGTATGAATGCTTTCAGCCATCGATGTTTTTCATGACCCAAGAACTCATTCATCTATAATATCTAGGGGACTAAAATACCTTTCTATTGATTAACTAAAAAACAGGTGTAAATTGTAAAGCCGCTTTATGCAATAGGATGAAAAACCAATACCTTGGCTTCAAGGTTAGTCGACCAGGTATGTTGAAAGCAGCAAAGAGAAGTTGCATGCACAAAGTAACAATACATGTTATACAAGATGTATCAGGTAGATCTGCTGCATTTGGACTCTGCGTGATCACAATGTTTTTTATCCATTCTTATTACTCTGGTTTTTGGACGAGTTTTATTCGTCCAGGCCTGGCAATAGAGGTCTTTTTCTAAAGAGATAAGATGATTTTAAGTGAAAAAGTCTAGAATGTATCCTTATTGGCATGCTAAGTGCAGTATTTCTACCCTGTACAATTCAGAGATGTGAACATATTGACTTTTGAGCTTAACAATCCTTTTTGCTGAGGGATATTTCTTTGTGTTCTATCACACTCCTAAAACCAATCTGCTATGCAGCAAATTCATTTTTGTAAATAAATTATTAATAATCTCGACGAGAGGTTTAGTTGCTACAAAGCTGTACATAAGACATGCCATGTTTTACAGGCCTGTAGCCAGCTATTTCTAAAAGGGGGGGGGGTCTTTTTCTGAAAAAAAAAAGGACCTTTTACCAACAAATCTTTGTGCGCCTAGATAACATTTAACCCAGATCGAACCTTTTCCCGGCAAAAGGGAGGGTTCTTTTGAACAGCTAAAACACCTCTGATACTGGCAGATGCACATGTAGTAGATTACTAGCCTCACTTTGCTATAAAGGTACAATGTACAGGTACTGCCCTCAGAGCGCCACCCGCACAGCAAAGCCACAATCTACATGCACCATATAATTCACTAAATTAGGGACATCAGGGTTTTGCTATGGCTTGTTACATATTACTACATGCAACTGTCCTCGTTTGGAAATAAAATAGGCCAAAATTGCGGTCTGACACTTTTATGTTGCTAAAATACGTAAAATTCCATTTAAATAATTAAAAGAGGCCGGTAGTGGCGGAAACGCAGGGTTGTTCTCGATGTGACCGAGCAATTTCTATACACCATTGAAACTCCTTAACGTAAGACCTATTGAAATACACAGTCCCCACGAAAACGAGAAATAGACTCGTCCGCCTTCGTCGTAGTGGAAGACGCAGTGGTGGGGCAGGTATGTGTATTTTACCAGTAATTAAGTCTTGATTAGTCTCTTTTTACTTGATTTTAAAAACGCAATTATGTCGTATATATATTTGTACGTATTACTATTGTTTCATCTGTGAAATAAGAGTAACCCATTCACATATCGGCCAGTACAGTCGATCAAAGCCGTGCTGGTCGGTCTACTTGTCAATTTACCGACTGTCGCAGATGACCTTAACTGCAGGTGTAGTAATTGCGTCGAGAGTCCGCCCCCCCCCCCCCCCCTCACCGGCCTCTGCCCACCCACCCCGACCCCCAGTGACCTGTGTAGTGACCGTGCCCATGCCATGGGTCACTATGACCACATTTTCAACTCGTCACCATAAATAATTCATAACTGATATGGAAATCCTGTGTTAAATTTCTGATCTCAAACATGTCGCAATCCAGGTCATTTTCTACATTTACACAATAACTCATACTTTCTGCACCGTTGTCATAGACGACGATTTCTTGCCTTTTAATCAATGTCCACAGTTGTAGCAAAAGATCGTTTATTGCAGAGTATTATTCCAGTTAAAAAGAGAACAGGTCGCTAACTTACACATACATGTACGTAGCAGACATAAAAACTTGTAGCGAATGCTGTTTTTTCTTTGGACCCCGATATTGTCGTCCATTGTGACGTAAGATATACATTTGACCAGTGTTAGTCTAAAAATAAATATGGAAGAATATTGGACCTCTTTATACAAGACGCACGAAATAGTTTTAAATTCGTTTATGTCAGAATATTTTTAACTAATGGTTACTTTTTTTAGTGAACAACTACAAATTTATCACGAATAATAATGAACCAAAAGGTTGGTCTAAATATTCGATCAACTTCAGAATTCTTATTTTATTATTCTTTAATTTAATCATATATTTACTCATCTATTCATTTTGCACCCCGACTGCAGAAAACGTTAGGTACGTGTCTGCGTCAAAACTATAGATAACTGACATGTCCACGCACCGTGGCTAACTGCTAAGAAACACGGCATAAAGACTAGATAGATTTGATTTGGGGCGTTTTATAAGTATGATACACAGATCCGCGAAGAGATACAAATTGACGGCGTAGACTGTCATTAAAAAGCCAAGGAAGTCTCTGTGAAATTTCGATTAAGTATACAGTAAAACCCCTTATTTGTATCGGTTCATGGGCTTGTCAACCTACTCCCTGCCACCTCTGGGTCATTTTAATGTAAATTTTATTGTGAGTTGGGGGTCATCTCCAAGACATCTCAGGTCATTTATGGTCATCTCGGGCTATAGCGTTGTTATCTTAATAGCAGGGTCTTACATCCCATTCTCATAGATTAGATCGACCTACATTGGATCGACCTAACTCCCTGGGGTTCACGCTAAATAGCTGTCAGCCGGGCGGACACGAAAGTTAATTACCCCTTAAAGCTTGTAGTAGGCGGGGACGGACACTTAAGGGGGATTATCTGACAGTAATCTAGTGAGACTCCCCGCGGTGATAGATCGATCTAAAAGTTGTGAGAACAGAGCCTTTGACAACATGAACACATGCTAGTGGCTCCACCTGCAGGTGCAGGGTGATAGTCCCATGGCTATGTACTTGACAATTCCCATTTTAGTTGTGTGGATCGAACCCGCTTTTCGTCACAGAAGGATAATCATGAAAAGATCAATGGAATGAATTGAGAATGATAATAAAAAATTCTTATCTTTGTCATTTTGGCCTAGATGTATTTTGGTTGTCCCCATAATGGCTGCATAATTTACATCTTCCGCACCGGTGAGCTTTCATTTCCTTAAGAGCTGTTTTTGCAGAGGTATTTTATGTCACAGAAAGGAATATCGATATCAAAACACGAATTACAAAAGAATCAATTTTGCCAGAAGATCCAGGGTGGATGTTGTCTGGGACGTTTGAAAGTGTTGATTCAATGACGTTTTCATTTGCCAGGTCATCGCCTTCTTTATTTTTTTAATATGTTTTGCGAATAAAGGTGCTGTTTTCATGAACACGGAAAATAAGACATACGAGTAGTGAGGGTCGGGTTTTTTCTTCATAATCACTTTTTTTGCGGAATGTGGAGTCGATAGGAAGAGGTAGGTTTGGCAGCCTCTAAACACAAGATGGAAGCCAAAATAGTTTGCATGTTTATCCCATTGAAACGCTCGTAAATAAACTTTATTTGGACATTTTGGGCATTAACGCTTCACTGTAATACATTTCTGATTCGCCGACGCACTAACGTGACCCGCTGTAGTTAATATGACGCGCTGCCTTACAGATTTGATAGACACATGTAGCTCTTAATTTGTACCAATAACATTTGTATGATCCTGAAAGGTGGGTGGAAAATTGCGGGAAAGACCCATTTCACACCACAAACGTGTTTGGCAGCCATATTAGCATCGCAGGATCCGGGGTACAAATAATTTTTCGAAAAGTTGAGATTTTTTATGATCTTGGGATTAGGTGCGGTACTGACTATATCATATATATATATATTTTAAAACCGCACCACCTATGATATTTGAGTTGTACTGATTGTTTTTCAATAATTAATATTATATTTTAAGGCACTTGTCGCCTTAATCTGATACCATGGATCCAGGGTCGAGATCAAACAGCACCACCAACCTGTCAGGAGGCCAGCAAGCTTCAGGTACATATATTTCTACATATATCTGTTATTAATCTAAACCTTGCGTCCCTCCTCTCCCCTCACAGGTTCATGTACACCTGAGAAGGTGTGATATCTGAGGCCATGGAGAAGTTTCAAGTTATGGAGGGTGGCGCGCAACCGCAGGCATCAGGTATAAAGAATTACACAATTATCGCAAGTTCACTTTAAAGCAAATTATAATCTAGAATATAATTTTTTTACATGACGTAGGTATATTATTTTCGACTTGACGATTTAGTTTTTATTCTATTCAATTGATTTTTAGTCATTATTTGTCTGTTTATTTAATTACATATTTTTATTTATGCATTTATTTATTCATTTTAACTGATTTTAAATGATTTTATTTACACTTTAAGAAAACAATACTAAATGCTGTATTTCTGACTTTATTTTCAGGCAACCGGATTTTACTCATCTTGGTAGCAGTGAGTGCAATCGTTTCCTTGGTGGCCCTCATCATAGCCGCAGTAGCTGTTTCCAGACCGGTTTCCTCCAACGTCACCGTTCAAAGTGGCCAACAGTCGACAGGGGGCAGCACAGGCAGTCAGACGTCAACCGGAAGTTCAGGAAGCACCGGCTCCGGCTCGAGCTCCACCTCGACGGGCACGACATGTACCACAAGCGTTGTTAGTAGAATTTACACTGTTGGCATCGGCCACGACTTTGGTGCACACGAATACATGTAAATATGCATTGATTTGTGTTAATATCTATTGGTTTATGAAAGGAGTTAAAAAGGAATTGGATTGTAAATATAATCCATTTAGAATTTAGGAAATGTAATAATTTGGTCGATGAAGGGAGGGACACAGGTTATGGTTTGATGCGGAAATAAACATATTTAGGTCTTGTTTTACCAGGGCATGTTTGCAAACAAAAAACTGTTTTATGCAAGCTACATGTATGATAAATATAAATTACACCTTCAAATACAGAAAAACTAATCAGAGATTGAAAATATTTGTGCCTCTTTTTTAGTGACACCTCCGGGTACCTGGCGGGGTTCTATCATGACCTCATCGATGCAGGTAAAAATTCCGAACCGCGAAAAATATAAATATATTATAATACAGAAGCAGTGGTATGACTATTAATATTGGAAAACCAAAAACAGATTAGTCTTTATTTAATTATTCAGTATAATAAGTTAGCGAATCGAAATTTGGTACGTTTTCATGGGCAGCTTATTCTACTTTATTGCACTGACTTAGAACATTGCACATGACTCTGTGATGTTGGTGACACTGCACGTGACCCCGTGTGCTGACGTCACTGTTTTTCCATCATTTTCAGTGTGCACCGAGGCCAGCATGGACTGCCGTATTGTGTGGGACAAGTACAGCAATTGCTGGGACTCCACCCCAGGACAGCCCTCACACGGCGGCCAGGGTACGTGGTGTGTGTGTGTGTGTGTGTGTGTACAAACTCCAGGGGTTCTTCATCTTGAAGATGATGGAGGGGGAGACAGAATGATATGTTCTTCAAGTTACACTGAAAAATGTCTAATGGTAGCACTAAGCTAACCGTTCTTGCCTTGATTTCCTCCGCAGTTGTAAAACAGCATACGAGGACAATTTTACATCAATTGACATATAAGATACGGGGAGAAAGAACGGCTTGGTATTGATGTTTCGTTTTTAATTCTTAATTATTTATTTTATTTATTAATTTGATTATGATTTTTTTTTTTTTTTTGAAAGATTGAGAGGGTTAAGTGGAGGAAGAGGTCACTCCGGTGCTGGGGAGGGGGGAGGGGAGGGGCACTGTGATCCCCCCTCCCCTCCCCTGTGTCGAACAAAAGTGTCCTATCTCTCCCTCCTTCTCCCCCACCCTCCTATAGGCCTAACGTGTCATTTTGTCTCCAGGATTACTTGGTCAGTGGTATGACGCATGCTCCGGCTGGTACACCACCATTGACCGCATCCAAGTCTTCAGCTTTGCCTTGCCATTCCTAAAGGCGCCAATGAGCAATTTCTTTGTCTTAAAAGGACAGGGGAGTTCTTTTTCCTCGAGAAACATGGCTGGAAAAAAGATTGGTAAGTATTGTATGTATAATTAAGTAAAATCAGCAACAGAACGCGATTTGACTTGGTAAAAGTCCGGATAGTTCTTAGCGTCCATATAACGGGTTACAGGTTTACGTGGTGTTAACATTTTGCTTATTTGTATAAGGTAATAGGTAAAAATACATGAAATCAGTGTAAGATATCCACATTACTTGTTGACTGGACTCGGCTTATATGCAGCAGCCTTGTTTTTTAGTAACCACCTTTTAAGATACGCCCGAGTTTCCATTCACAGTTGCTTTGTTTTCGGTCAGCATCTTGCTTTTAAAACACGAATTATTGTCTTAAGGTTTTGTGGACGGCTGGGCCAGCGACGAGAAGTGTCTGAACAGGTGGACAGACGTAGTTGGCCAGGACACAATGCAGGTGGTCCACGGCCCAACACCCACTGACCTCGTGGCTAAGTTACAGAACGGGGAGGTAAGCTAATAAAGATAAGGCTGGTCGATAGATGGCGCCTAAGCAGTAAGGGTGACATAAAAGTTCGCTGAGTTTCATGCATACCCGAACCATTCTCACCTACTGCAAGAACTGGATTTGTAGATAGACCTACTATTAAACTTAACGAAATATGTTTAAAGGGTAGTGATACCACGTTTATTTAAATATTACTAAAATCTGACAGGAAGCCTTTAAAAAGATGAAATTTCTGCTTTATTTATTTATTTATTTATTTTAAGATCAAATTTCAACCATGGACCTAATTAGAGAGGTCCATGTTTCAACACTTAAAAGTGTTCAAACCAATTTTTCTTTTAGATCGCCGCGATTTTTGCCACCATCTCTGACATGGAGCCGCACACAGGGGCCACCAACCCTGTGGTAGAGAGAGTTCCGTCCGCTTCTTTCAGCTGTATGATAGCGGGCAGTGCCATGATGACCCGGAAAGACAGCGACTTCAATTCGAAATGGAACGTTGGTTTCAACAAGCTCGTCTCTTCTGGGAAATTCAAAAAATTGTGCGCTGCCGGACAACAAACGCACGGTAAGTAGTCGGCGGTGTGGTGAACAAAAACTGTAATTTTCTCTACGTTCATAAACCACTGAAATAACAACCCATCAAACTAGAACAAAATGAAAAAAGTTATTAAGACAACCTTCATAAAGTAGTAAGATATTGGTAAAATATGACATACTTCATATTTGTATTAACGTGGAGGTTCTTTTGGTTCTTCGAATATTGTCCATGCAAAGTATTTCTTTTCAGAAAGACGAAAATCACATAAAAAGCGAGCACTGTTTAACTTCGTGTGTAAATAATAAGCAAATATTAAACTGTCTACTGGTATACCATGTGGCTCATTTTACCTTTTTGTTTCAGGGAGCAGAGGAAATGTTGATTGTGTTGATGGGTAGAGCGAGGGATTAATCAAACCACAGTTAAATATTACACAGAATGTGACAGAAAACAATTTGTATGAGCGTCAGAACAAGAACGAACGTTCACAGTGACGTTCAACTCAATAAACTTTCATTAAACGAAAATTTCCTCCACAGAGAGGAGAGAATTACATAGACATGCAAAAGTTAATCAAGAACTTACCAAACATAGAACAAGCAATTATGTCTCCTAGAAATGTCACGTATCGGCAAGACTATTTTGCACAATTTTAGATATTCAACACTACTTACACTAACACTACTTTAACTGGAGTGTGTGCTTAGATCAGGTTTTATGATTTCAAACGAGAATACTATTTCTCTCCTTGACAGCAAAAAATTAGTAGAACATAGTGTAAATATTTTTGGCCTTGAAATCAACCTGCTTGACGGTACTTTCTCTGCATAATTATTTAGTTTATAAACTGAAGTATTTACAAGTTTTATTGTAGCAAATACATCACTGACGTAAAGATCAGGTAATACAACTCATCTCGCCACGTTCTCTTATATTGTTACTTTATCATGGCGTACAGTGTATACTTATACTTTGTATATAAAACAAGTTTTGCTTATTAAAAAATCAGGATAACTGTACGCGTTATCCTTTGTTTTTATATTTATTAATTTATTTATTTAGGCTCTGTTGCCGCCTTCATTATCATAACGTTAAGTTTATCCCTCTTTGTGAACATTTTTGAAATCTTTTTACATTTTCATTGACCTCATTTGCTCTGGGTGACGGTGAATTGTATTCAAATCAGTTTCTTTTCCGTTGACATGTTACACTGCCATATTACATATCTTGTATCTATACATCTATATCATCTCAGACTTTTTAATATTTTTATTGTGCTTATGTGGGAATTTATTTTTTTAACATTAAATGACTGCAATTTACAAGATTTTAAGTAAAAAAGTTAATGAAAAGCAAAACGCGAATCTTATTCTACACATAAATGACGGAAATATCTGAATTACAGATACCGCCCCAATGATGCATGTTAACGTCAACGCGCGTGCACGTGAAAGAGGGGAGATCTTGGTTCTTTTTTAATGCACTCTAGACGCACACTCGATGCTTCAGTGTTTTAGACGATAATTGCAAAATGTCTCTGTATTGTCAGCCTTTCATACATTCGTCACCCTGAATGGATATATTTGAAACTGAACCTGTAAACAATATATATCTCTGCGGGGGTGGGGGTGGGGGTGGGGGGTGGGGGTGGGTGAGAGGGGTTTTTCTCGTGCTTCTGGTAGACGTCTGCGGCTAACTCGGTGCTACTTGTGGGTCGAGGGCTGGGTGAAGCGTCACACGGTTAAAGAAAAAGAGAGACAGCCTTACTCCATCTTAATCTATTTCCTCTTATGTGGCATGGAGCACCAAAATCACGATGCTTTTTTCAGTAAATATTTCACTGAACATCATATCAAGATAGTACATCTTGGAGGTAAAAGAAAAGAGGAGAAACATTATGATGATGATGATTATTATTATCCATCCCCATGCTAAAAAAAAAAAGAACGCGACTGTCGTATATGGTAAAGCAAGGCGTCAATATATTTTTTTTTTGTCATTATAAATTCCAAATATGACCGCGGGCATTTTCTTTACAAGAAGTACGCTGTTGCAGATCTAAGACGCGCTGTGGATATTTACGTATTATGCTAGCTGTAATTCCGCATGTACTTAAACTTTGAAGAGACAATCCATTTTTTCTTCCACATTCCTCTGGTCTAACCATAAGTGTTACGCAAAAGCTGTATCGGTAGAGTATCTTTGGAGAGGTAGGCCTACGCGCGACGGATATTTTTCTGGCTGTTTTATTCTTAATTTCAGTAGAATTAGTATGTTATACAACACTGCTGATACCAACTCGCCATGCTTTGCGCATCGCTTTTGTATTTCTTACTAAGACGATATTTCCGACCCAAAGAGTTTCGCCCTTATCGCCGAGAAGTTACGCTTACCTCACGCGGATGCTTGCACGTAAACTAAGTTTCATATACATGCATGGAGTCACGTACTTTTAAGCTATTTCAGGAGATCCGCGTATAGGTGATTTTGATGAAAATGGAATCAAAAAGAATATTCCATGAATTATCTGAAAAAATAATTTAGACAAGACCGACTTTAATTCTTTCGTTCTTCTAAGTTCTAGGATAAACTGTTTTCATTGAAAGAGGATGATGTTACTTCGTAATATGTAAATTTACTTTGACCTAAATTTCATATTATTTCCTCACGTCATAACATAGTCACTGCACTCACACATTTCTACATGACATAAATTATACACATAAAAGAATCATACTGCATGTGCTCATCACTTACTTATAGAATGCAAGACAACTTTATTTAATTTTGTATCCTAGCTTACTTGTTTTTACTTTTTTCACTTAATGACTCACTAATTTAAAGACTGTTTTGACATGGGGGTCAGATACGGTACTTTTGAGCAGTTTCTATAATAGTAAGAGGGTCGTGGTAATAACGGGCTGTCTTCATGAATGATGCATAATAACTGTGGGTAGGTCTAATTATTCCCAGTCAAGCACGACTGCGCAGTTCGTGGTTCTTGCGGTGCCTGCGCAGTTTTAAGGTGAGTGCGTAAAAGTGGACCCTTCCACCTCGGACCAGAGTTCGACCACAGTCACATCTCATCACCATCTCGAGACGCTGACGACAGATAACGGTACGTCTTTACTTATTATGATGCTGATATCTAAATATATTTCAAAGTTTATATGTTAACAACTGGACGGTTTTTGACTCATGTAAGAGATGAAGAGAAAAAGAAAAAAATGCAAATAGATCAATTATAAATCTTTACATGTTTTTAGATATAATAGCCATTATTTTAAGGCGTCGGCCTACTTATTTTGTCCAAGGACAAACACCCTGCTTTCTGTTATGATGTAGCTGTTTGTATAGCAATGAATAACGAATCTAATAATTTTCAATAGACAACTAAAATCTGGTTTGTGAAGGGTTTTCCTATACACGCAGCCTTATAACACACCACTGGACTTCACTATACACAAGACGGGGCAAAGAAGGCGCAGGGAAGGGTCAAAGCATTTTCTTTAGCGTTGCCTCTCGGCTCACTCCAGATCAGCTCTTGAATATTTCTTATTTTCAGGTGACAGTATAATTTGAAAAACCTGTTTGAGATGAATATCATATTTTCAGTAAACAAGCCATGTAGAGGTTAGAGGTCAGACGGTCATGCAGGCTGGGTTACCAGACTTGACCGAGGACCCAGCAAAATATAACTGGGTGTTTATGCTATCCCAGGGTACATGGCGTATTTGTTGTCACCGGAACCTTACTCTTTCACTGTAACATGACATCCAAATTTCAGTTTACGATTTACCACTTGCCATATCTTTATATCATCAGGTTTGAAAGATGTTTTCTTCCTTTAATGGATTGTTATTCAAAGTTTTATAGTGTTGTCAGAGATTTTATTGTTACTATCCTAAGATTCGAACCAATTTTAATACTACGAACATAAAAAATAATGACGAAGCATACGATCAAAAAGTTAAAGTAAGAGCACTCTTCTGATAAAAAATTATTGTAAAATTAGTATCACTACAGGGAAATAATTTTTCACGAAATTTGATAAAGGTGGTTACAATATCAATTACCATTGTATAAAGTTTGAATAGTAACGTAATCAATCCATTCACTCGGCTCAAACCAAGTAAAGAAAAAGATATATATATATATATATTTGTGTTTCACCTCTACGAAGCGATGATCGTTGAATGCTAAAAAATAGCGATGACTCAAGGAAATTTCTCCAGTAATATTTTCTGTGCCAATATATATATACTGTATGCGGTCCCATTGTAGTAAAGTTATTAAGGCACATGCTGATTACATGAAAATGAGACCTCCACAAAGAACTTTGCATTTTGGGAGGGTTTGGGATGGCATTTGTGGTTTACTTTGGTGCAGAGAAAAAGCAGAGATTTTTCAATTCAGGATACAGTCAAAGGAATATTTAAATGCAGTGGAGGTTTTGACACCACAATTTCTTTTATTACCATAACGTGTCAAATAATTTGCAATAGACGTATTAACAAGACAAAACATGTAGGTTGGAAGAATCTCCCTGGGTGACCGGTGGAACTGAGTAGAGATAGTTCTTTTGTCGGCGTCTCTCTAAGCTGCTGTTGTATCCAGGACAGTGATGACACTGAAATAGGATGTCACAATACGCTGCACTTAAACCATGCAATACTAGTTAGGTTGACTGTAATAAATGTCTGTTTTTTTAAGGTATGAACGTCACGTGCTGGATTTCGTCCAAAATCCTGCTCGTAAACAAAAATACCTGATCGCACGTTAATGTATCATTGTTCGTTCGGAAAGGGACGCTGATTATTATTTAATTAAGTCTAAACCACACATAACATCCCATAAGATAGGTGACCTGTCTTCTACGATTTGATGAAGTGTCTTCTGTGCAAAACTCGAATACAGAGATCAATGATTTTGCTGAAAGATATTCTAGTCCTAAAATGTGCTTATACTAGGTAGATGACCCTGTTTAATATAAAGATGTTCATGTGCATTGCGACACGAAGGTTGATAAACGTATGCTACACCTAGCATCCCTGGTCGTGATGCTCTACTTCGTATTAAGACGCACAACGAGCTAGAACATGCTACGCCAACATACTGCCGTCACGCTCATAAACATGTCAAAGAAATAGCTTTGCGTCTTTGTCAGTTTCATGTAAATTATCTTTATTATTCATGTCATCTTCTTTTAACATTCTTTACATGTATAAATAAAGCCGCGCCTGAATGTAGCTGCCCGAAGGTAAACGAGTCGACCACAATTTTCATCTTGACAGTGTCAGTATCTTTTTTTTTTCAATATTGTGGTTGTTTTCTCCCCCAGGTTCGGAAGATCACCCAAGAACCTAGACGATGGAAGAAGGTGGCGCAAAGGTAGAGCGATCTGACAGCACAGTGAATTTAACTATTCCTCGGCCGCGCTCTCAAGAAGGTATATTCCTTACTTGTCTAGACATGACATATTTTGTTGAATTAACGCTAGATTATATTTTTCTTTCGTAGTCACAAGGGGTCAGGGTACAACTAACAGAGCGCCCTCATGCAGTCAACTGGAAAGTTTGAAGTAATGGAGGGGGGTGCGTCCACCCAGGCTCCAGGTAGGCCGCTGAAGGTTGTGGATCCCTTATTGACCAATCGAAATAAGTTACGAAATTGAACGTAATCGTACGGGAATTGCCGAAGTCATAAGGGGTCGACTTCCTTAAATAACTTGGTTTACGGTTCATTTGTCTTATTCTGAATTATAACGGTTTGATTGTTTTTGTTTGTTCTAATTTTATATAAGTTATTTAGAGAAGTAACTACATTTGTATAATTTATAAGCTTCAATTTAGCTTAGTGCAAAAACTATGGCTATCATAAAGCCGCGACCATTTAAAAGTCTTCAAGATCGGACTTTTCACTTGACCATTGCTTCTGTTGTACCGCTCCAATTATTAGAATCCTAAACTTCGTAAACCGAGTTATTTTCTCAATGGCCTAGTGGGGAATTGAAAAACCAAATCACACTATTTTCGAATGGATGACGAATGACTTTATGGACTTGATACAGAACGCAAAGCACATTGTAGCACCACTCCCACTAAATAGCAATCGACAACATTTCACAAGTTTCATCTGTGTATAATTCACGAGACACAGAGGTACAGTATGAGCCGCTCAAAGTAAAATTCAATGTGTTTTTGTATAATTTCAGCGGGCCGTATGATAATGGTCCTGGTGGCTGTCTGCGCCGTGATTGCGATTATCGCGGTGATCATTGCAGCAGTTGCGGTCTCTCGGCCGTCTTCGCCCAATATCACAATCCAGCGCGACAAGACGTCTGGGGGCAGCACCTCTTCACAGACCTCGGGCGGCTCTTCTGGCTCTCTATCTGGCTCTGGCCGTGCGACGAACTACGCAGGCCAAAGAATCTACACCATAGCCATCGGCCACGACTACGGTGCTCATGAGTACATGTAAGTAACTCAACGGTCTCCAGGAAGGAACAGAAGTGGATGACGCCCCCACCCCCACCCCTTACCATACCCTCGCACCCCCCTCACCCTAACCCTCCAGATACCCCGTTTTTTGCTCTTTCAATATCTCAAAGTTAACTACCTTGCTTGTTCGTTAAAAGCTATCGCTGATGATAAGGGTGGTTGCCAGACGATTCCCCATGTCTTTGTATAAACGCGATAGTTTGTTTTATTACGTACATGTAATATGACAGAAGATTAATTCGTCACTTACTTGCGAAGAATCGTATTAATTAAGAATAAAAAAAATGAACAACTGCTAATCTTTTATACTCTGCTTTTAAAATTTTTAATTGGTGGCAGTTTACATAAATATGCCAATTTACATACCAACTGGCGCTTTTTTTTTCAGTGACACCAGCGGGTATTTGGCGGGTTTCAGCCACGACGTTATAGACGCAGGTACCTTTGTATTTGTGCCACTCCAATAAGAATATTAGAATAAGTTGTATAATACTGTCTTGATATTTATCTTGGCAGTCGGGTGTGCATCTCTGTTTTCGTTTAAGATTGGAGAATTTTAGAAAGCAACAGTTCTTTTAAATTACGTTAGTGTAACATTGGCGCTTTAAAGTGCAGGTCAGCCTTGTCAACCATTTAAAAAAACAAGTAGTAATGCTTTTATAAATCTCTGCGTCCTTTGGTATTTTATCCAGTTTGCACCGAGGCCGGCTTAGACTGCCGCACTGTATGGGACAAGTACATCAATTGCTGGGATTCCACCCCAGGACAACCCTCACACGGCGGCCAGGGTACGTGATATGTTTAGGGGGTGGAGGGTGGGAGGATGAGGGGGGGG